AGAGAGAGAGAGAGAGAGAGAGAGAGAGAGAGGGGAGAGGGAGAGGGAAATGAATAGATCAATTTTACCTTATTGATAAGGAAAGTCTTTATATGAAATAATGAATGAGTCATATCTTCGTTTAAATTATTTAAATTTTACAATCAATCATAATATGAAAGAAATTTGCATTTCAATCAATAATATCACACATAAATCATTCATTACAGTTCAATGTTTGAGAAATTTTTTCTGTAATATTCGATAATTTTGCCTTAATTAATGGTAAAAACGTACGAATAGATAAAATTATATGCAAATTTGCAAGTAATATTTTTTTTTGTTTTTAAACATTTTCATTGTTAAAATGTTAAAGCATAAGCCAAAGAAAATCATTACGTTTATTGTTTATTTTCCCAAAAATATTTTCACGTGTTTTGCGTATTCCACGTATTTACTTATAATGAATAAGTATTTCATATATTATTTAATAGCAAGTAAAACATAATTAAACATAAAAAGTCGCAAATTTTCGTTAAAATTTTTAATTTACAAATAATTATTATATTTGGAGTTAAAGATTAAATAGCTGAATGACTGATTTGCCACATTTTTACCTATTTTACCTATCATAAACTTACCGTAAAACAAATATTCTACTCATTCCTTTATTAATCATTCCTTCATTTTCGTTATCAATAATTAATCTAATCAATAATCACTATCATTAATTCTATTTCATGATTGATCATTTAAAGATATTTGTAGTTTAATGCTTTGCCAACACGCTGCATTTAACACCGTATAAGAGAAGATGTATAATTTTCCAGAATTCCGTTTACTGAATGAAGTATGCATGCCTGATTTGATTTTTCCGGTTACTATATCACTATTTTTTAGAGAAATATTACATTTAGTAATTTGAAAAATGCAAATGTAACACATCTCGAGAAATTGTTTCTCATTTTTTGTCAACTTTCTTTAATATTTAAATATACGCAATCGATTTGTTCATAAATTTTTAATTTATGGTAAATTTTACCAGAATCTAAACTTAAAAGATCAATAATTAAATCCTGGATACATTTGAAAAAGTGACAAATTCCTGATTAACATTTTATTCAAGGAATATTTCCTTTGAATCGTTCCTATACTATCTTCCATTTCACTTATTGATCGAAATATTTACATGTGTTGCTTTTATAACTCCCTTAGTATTCGTTTATTGTTATTACTTCAGTTTAGAAAATATTAAATACTGCAAAAAATTGACCCTAACAGGGGTCAATGAAATAATATCAAAGATTTAATTCCACAAACATGAAAAACTTTTTAATTCAACTAATTTTAGCCGCTGATTCATTACAGATACATATATGTTCCCATTAGAAAATGGTTACACTCATATTCAAATGACCTAAAATTCAACTTTGAAATCAAACAATCAAATTATCCTCATCCTGAGATGCGCCAAACAAATATTAATTTTCATTAATCTATTTATTCCCTAGTATTTAAAAGATTTTATGATTTTATTGTGACATACAGCAACTTCTATACAATATCTCTGATGAACTAAATGACTTTTTATAACTTATTAGCTCAATTATATGACTTAATTAGATTAATTGTCTTTGACAGTAACTTTAGCAGAATTGATGAATGAAATCAGAAATGGGCAAAAAAAAAATTAGTAATGAAATAGCATTTAAGACAATTAACTTCATTTAAACTAAAAGTTATAAATTGATGAAAATAACAAATAATTTATTGGATACAAAAAAAGAAATAGTTATTTAATGCAATTTCTCCTCCATTTCTACTCTTTCAATTTTTCAAATTCAGGAATTATACCGAATTATAGGGAATTACCTCCGATTCAGCAATAATTGATGTATGTCAGAACAAAGACGAGTTAAGCATTCATCTAAATCATGTGGTAGTATTTCGTTTACAATTTGAACATCATTACTAATTACAATATCCCAGTTAGTATATTCATCAAGACCACATTCAGTCATTTGATCATCAATTCCCTTTACAAATACGAAACCACGCATTTCTCGGATTGGTAATGATGCTTCGATACGTAACAATCTGTAAACTATTAATTAATAACAATTATATTTTTGCTTCTTATTTACTTAGAAAAAAACTTTAGAGATAAATCTTAGCATAATTATTCGGGGAAAAAAAGAGGGAGAAATACTAATTAAGGTAATTCGGAAGAAAAAAAAGTCCTGGAAACTTCTTGTATCTTCATGTCGAATTACAATACTGAATCGGAATTACTTCCAATTCAGTATTTCCGATTCTTTCAGCATTCAGTATCAATCATAAAAGCTTACAATAAGTGATATTGGATATTATCCAATGAGAAATGATTGTAAACGTTTATATAGCAAATTATATAACCTTAAATGAGAACTACAATGCATCTTAAAAAATTCAATATCAGAAAGCCGTCGACAATCCGTTACAATTAATACATCAGTTGAATTTGCTCTTGCTAAAACCTTCCTGAAATTTATTCATTATTTCAATTATTTAATATTACATAAAAATTTAACCATTAATCGTTTTCAATTATTTAATTTCCAATCAATTAATTTCATAAAATTTCCATCCTCCAAAAATTACTCTCTTTTGTTATTAATTATTAAATGATAAATATAATTTTTCAACTAAACATACCTACAAAAATATCCACAATCATTATTTCGTATTTGTTCACTCCATGTAATCATATCTTGACGATATATCTCCTTATATTCCATATCATTTTTTAAACGTTCAGCATTTACACCATTTAATTGAGCATATTCCTCCTTGAGCGGATAACTTATACCATAAATGATAACTTTATAACCATTTTCTTCCAATCGATTCGCTAATAAATTTGCCACAAAATCTTTACCACATTTTCGTTTACCAGAAAGGCAAATAATTATAGGTTTCATTTTCCTATAATATTTTCGAATTTAAACACTAAAAAAAAAAAATTTGCAAAAATTTTCTCATATAAAAACACTAACAAGAAATTATATTAAAAATTTAACATATAATTTGACTATCAAAATGTTACACTCATTAGGTTTTATTTGGTTTAAAAAAAAAAAGAAAAAAGAAAAAACAAACATTAGTATATTTCTCGATAGTTGACGAGATTACATAAATAAGATATATAACTCTTTCCTGAAAAGAAAAATACTGGTATATTTCTTGATAGTTGGCGAGATTGCATAAATAAGATATATATGTGTTTATTTCTTTCCTGAAAGAAATGAATGAGAAAGTTAGAATAACAACATTTTTAATATATTACTTAACCATTATGGATAAATATCAGAAATAGGAAGACTTAAATTGCAACTTTATTGTTCGGAATAGTTTTACATCTGGATTACTCATTATTGAATCACTAAGTGTTGCTATTTTCTATAAATCACACAAGTACCATTTCATCCATTTCAGTAGTTGTACCATTTCACCTATTTCAACGAGAAAAAAAAAAACGAGGTAAAAAGTAAAACCCAAACATCCCAATTATAAATAATTTTTATCATCTAATTCCTTTGCGTAATATTTAATAATTATTTCACTTCTCAATTTGAGGATTCAGCAACTTGGAATCCTGATTCACAATAATAAAAAAGCTATTTGAAATTTTCCTGAAAAATTGGCTAAAAAAAAAAGCGACACAAAATGACTGACATTATCAGTTTGGAATAATTTATTTGAAATTTCAAACATTGATTTTAATCAAATGCGCATTACATGACAGTAACATTTTGAGAAAAAAAAAAAAAAAAAAAAAAAACAAAGATATAATACAACAATCAAACGCATTGTGTAATATAAATAATTAGTAGCACTCGCATGGAATATCATACTGACCACATACATCACATCATATCATTATCACATCGTTTGTGAATAAAAACCTAAGTAACATGGAATTTATATTATCCACCAACGATGATATTATTAATTGGAATATGGATCAGCTTGACGAAGAAACCGATAAAACCCATTATAGCAAAACCAACTGCTGTCGCTACTGCAATTTTTTGATATTCTGAAATAATTATTTGCAACAATTTGAAATAATTTGAATACCGTTTTTTTTTTCTATTTTTTTTTTTTCAATTTGAATATCCCACTGTATACTACTAATGAATTTCAAATTCTCTACTTGACACATCTTTTGATATTCTGAAATACTTATTTGCAACAATCTGAAATAACTTGAATATCGTTTTTTTTTTTCTTTTTCAATTTCAATATCCTACTGTATACTACTAACGAATTTCAAATCCTCTATTTGACACATCTGCATTTAACATAATTGTTTCTTCTTCTTCTTCTTCTCTTTTTGTCTTATCAATTCTGGCGATTAAGATTTAAAGCAAAAAATTTTCAACATTTTATAGAAAATACTACAATTTAGTAAGGTAAGATACAAATAAAAACTCTGCAATTTTTATGTTGTCTACAACCAATAAATATTAGAAGTTATAATACGCAATAATGAGAAATGTGGGAAAAAAAGTCGACAAATAATTACTGTAAGAGTAAATCAAATTGAGTAATGAAAATTATACATATACTTTAAAGATGATATAGATTAAAAATGTTACCAACTGAATTAAAGCACATATTACCTTTTCGATCTGGTTTTGTGCACCTTTTTACCAATCGAATTGAATCTTTAGCGAATTGTTTGCTTGGATCAATTAATGCTTGTAAATGGTCCATTAAAATAAGTTCTAAAGGAGTAAAAAGGAAAAAAATGATTTAAAATAAATTTCAACTTTCACGACGAAAATTTTACAAAAAGTCCAAATTCTTCGACCCAGAAAACCAGAATTTTTTCGCCATTTTTTTTTCTTAAATGTTTACTACTATCTCAATAATATCCAAGATAAGAAAGCATAGATAGAAGTTGACTTTCTAACGAGAAAAAAAAAGAAAGATCCAAAATATCCAGTTTACTCAATTTGATTTTAAGATTTGCTCAGATTCATCGTCATATTTATTCCACAGTTTTAGCTTCCGGAAAAATGTTACTCGGAAAAAAACCGCTTATAGTCATAACCGGGTATTTTCATTTAATCACGTACTTGGTCACATTGTTTTCCGAAAAAAAAGACTTAAATTACCGGTTGACATTCTTACTCAACCAACCATTAACCACATAATAGTTCCGCGTAAATCAACACCGTTACTGTACCGATTTCCGTATTCCCCATGCAAATATGCCATATTCGGTTTAGTAAACCGGAAATTTATCCGTACAGACAACCCATTAATCATACCACTACCAACACAAATATGCCAGCATCACCATCGAACATCTGGAGATTTGCTCAGATTCATCGTCATCAGGTTTTGGGACATAATGCCGAAAACCAAATTATCCATAGGCCATTATTTTATCATCTGTCCTCTACTCATGTTGTACACTATTTTATTTTTGTATTTTGTCTAGTTCTATTTCTTTATCAACTCTTTTGTGCTACTCATTTTCCTTGCTTCGTCTAATTACGTTTGATTTTTTCGCCTTTTTTTAGTTCCATGTTACAAATATTTCTTTTTACCATACATAATAGCATTAAAAATGTTTTCGAACAAGTTTTAAAAGTATTAGTTTGTTTAATAATTCGAAGAATTTAAAAAAATTCAAACGATGCCTTTCGTCTAATTCCACAACGCATTATGCTCACACTCTACATAACTCCATCCTTCTTTTTCTTCCTCTATTCTGTACTTCTTTTCTTCTCTCTATTTCTCTCTCGGATTCCAACGTTTTGGTTTCATTCCATACAGTTCAGGGAAAACTACAAGGAGTTTTCGCTGTAGGATGTAAAACATCTTTTTCAGCTCTATTTCCTTTATGATAATTTAAAATCTTGATAATTTGAGGTTACCATTGATAAATGATAAATTAATAATATTAAATCTTAGTCATGGCGATAACTGATAAGACGATAGATTTGTGTCAAATTTGTCACTTCACAAAATCAACGATCAGTTACTTCTTTATTGGTAATTGTATTCAGTGAATGATTTGATCATTGTAAAAAATAGAATTAAAACAATCACTTTAAATCAATTTCTTTTT